TAGGTAGGACTTTTTAAGTGCTTTAGAATCGAGTGCTTCAGCCTGGGCACCCCCTGCATGTTATGCGGCAAACACATTCACTTTCAACATATAACTCCCCCAAAGAAATCCAATTGATTTATTTATCATAATATTTTGGTGTTTATCAAGTAGGTGATAAATAAATCGATCGTTCCAGAAGCCCCAATATTAAACAAGAAACGAAACTTGGCTCGATACAAATTTCACTTTCGGAAATCGAAAACTCTAGTGGACTTCCAGCTGTGCGCGGAGAAGCTGTGCCCTGCATGTTTTGTCAAGCCGGCAAACGAGTAAMTGTGTTTGGAGATGTCTTCAAACACCTGCTGTACATTCCCTTTCGTAGCATGACAGACAGAATGAGAGCAACATGTACCCTTTAAAATACCGGAAATGTACTTATTTTTTWACGCTTTGTTTTGAGAGGTTAAATGCAAATTTATATTCTAAAAAGAGCTAGTGAGCATCAGAATGAATCAGTAGATTTGAAAACAAGACATACATGTTTAAAGTGGTAGCTACTATCTCAGTAACAACATCCAAGGAAATGTAGTTCTCAATGGGAACTTAAAACAGGCACGTCAAACAGGCCTGGAAAAGAAAAATAGGGAGTAGAAATAGGAATTTTATTTGCATATTATGAATTATTATTGAGAAGTCTGTTCAATTTTTTTCTATTTTCATATTTTAAATAAGAAAGAAAATTTGAGAAGCAAATTTTATTTCACTACATCGATATTTCATTGCATTTTATTCCTCTAAGAGTGCATACCATATATCCGTGAAAAAATAACGTATAAAATTGTGCAAATTAGTGCAAAGCTTTGTAGGCCGGTCTACTGAGGTCTACTGAACTGACTTATTTATGCAAATTCGTACAATTTCTYACAAGCTTTTCATGGATATAYGATATACTCTCTATCATGTTGAAGTAATTTCCAGGACTAATACTGCTGACATCGAGTTGTAACTTTTCAAAATTCAAATGAGTGATTGACAAGTCTTAATGGATTGACCAAACAGCGAATCAGTTTGTAGCTGAAAGAAAGAGAAAAAGAAGAAAAGGAAAGGAAAAACTAATGCTGTCGGAAAACGTATTCTTCTCTAGCATCCTTTCAGTATTCTGCTTTGATTGACGTTTAGCTCTCCTCGTCTTAGGCTGTGTTCCAGGACAGTTCTGTGGTTTCTCTTGCTTCAGTTATGGTATTCTTTGAAGTGTCACCACTCCTTTCTGTCTATSTGTTCACTTAGGTTTTTCGTTTTACTTTATTTATTTCATTTGTTTTTTTATTTCATTTATCTCTTGAMTGCTTGTTGTTCAATGTTTTTTTGGGCACGCACGTACTAGAGGTCAGATTTCTTCAAAGGTTGCTTCCCATCTATCAGTATTTTCTATTTATTCATTCGTTCGTTCGTCAGTCAGTCAGTCATCCATCCATCCATCTATTCTTTCTTTTTTGATTAACTAATTTTCATTGGTTCGTATTCAATGTTACTTATTTACCCATGCGCCTTCAGTACTTAAAGTCCCAGTAATGTCGCACAACAAGAGCTGTCGAGATTGGCSAAAACAAACAATAGTTTCATTGTCGACTCGTTCTATTGTATTTTATTGTGTTTATATTTTTCGTCCTATCGTGTTCATTCAATTTGGTTAGATTTTCTCAGAGGTGCGACCTTGCCTTTAAAATCTAAGTTCGTTCTGTYAGTAGGCCTTACCCACCCTGACCTAAATCAACCTAGACTCTGTTTCTTTGTGCCATAACATTTTTTTTAAATGAAGAAATATTTGACTGAAGGCTCAAAACAGCTTTCAGCGGTTTTCCAGTTCCGCTTTACTTCAACACAAGAGCATGCTTGACTGCAGGCTCAACAGACACAGGTAGCCCAGTAACTTATAGATGAGCACATATTTTAAATCTAAAAATCTTATTTTCCATCTACAAAGGAAAGGGAAAGGCAAAGCGTAAGAGAAGTTATACTTTTTTTYCCGCACATATAAGGAGGTTTATTGTTCCACTTTAGTTGTTTCTCACAAATAAATAATAAATTTTTAGATCAGTCCAGTTTTATAACTTCTTCATGCTTAATATACGTCTTTACTCCGGGCTTAATGTTTTCCCATTTAAGACCACGTGTCATTCTCTAGAACATCATTTCTTTGTTTAACAGTTGCACATGAGAAGAGACATAAATATAGGTACGACACAAACAAAGAATCTTATTATCAAGAAAAAAGCACGTGGTCTGAAATGGGAAAACATTACGCCCAAGATAACGGAGGTGTATTTGTGGGTGACTCTCCATGCAAAGTATTCCGGCACTACAGTGCGCACGTATTGCAAGGGGTCATTTATGTACGTTCTAGGGTGGACTTTAAACACATGTTTTAGGCTTCGACCGGGCTTCCTGATATACTCTGTAAATCAATCCTTCAGGGATCTGAGCAGCAGTGTTGCAAAAAAATCCAGCATTGCGGTAAATTCTTCGCCGGTCGTATGGTCCCGAATTAATGATTAATTAATGATTGAGAATAATCTAGATCTAGTCAGTTRGTGGAGAGTCTGAATGGAATCTCGTTATCTTTTTGAGGTTAYGTTGTGCGCGCGTCTTTTTGCCTCTACACTGTTAATGCTTTATTTGTGGATAGCGAACATGAACTTGTGCAGGAATGTGAATTGCGTAGACCAGTGTCWTTTTTAAGTATTGTACGTGTCCGTAAACAGAACGAAATTTTATTCTCTCTCTCTCTCTCCCTCTCTTTTCAACGTTTTTATCACCATATTCAATCGCATTTTTGCGCGCAATCATTGCTGCGGCTCACTTTCAAGTTCACCACATAATCCGTCAATTTTTAATTACAGTCTTTCAGATTCTTTCCAAAAATTCCATACAATTTTTCAGCTGTAGAATGAGTCACTCATTTTGGTATGACAAGAGGCATGATCACTTTGTGATAATCCACTGAAATCGGTTTTCCTAATAGTTCGCCTGATTCTTCAGATAGGCTTATCGCTGATTACCACACGCGGACTAATCGAAGCCAAAAAAGAAACCTTTTTTTATGTGTTCGGTGTTTGCGCATCTTTCTTAAAAAAGTRCTCTTCAGAAGTCCTGTCACTCGAYAAAGGAGGGCTGGAATAAGTTCTGATTTCTTACGAGTGAGAAACGTTCAGTGTGCGACGTTCAAATCTAAACCAATCAAAACGCACAATCATACACGACATCCAATCAACGTGCTCAAATTCGAAAGCCATTTAAGTGTGACTGTACCAGTATTTGTCCCATAGGAGTTATTAATTTATWAATTTATAAGTAATCTTTATCAACATTATAAATTATGAAATTACGTTGTCAAGCTGTCTGTAGTCATAGTTGTCATATAGGACAGATGTTATTTTTTTTCGTTTTCTTGATAAACAGGCGTGATTTTTACGCCTTCTGCCCACGCTGTCATTCGCCGACCTCCGTTGCACAACGTATTCGAAGTTTCTCTTCAACAATAACTAAAAAATATATTATGAATTGTGTTTACATGACATTGTTTTTGTCGCTGATTGTTGGGTTTGTTCTGTGCGAAGGTAAGCTCCAGTACCTTAGAAGTATTTTCCTTACATCAAAATTGAAATATTTTTATTCATTTTGCATCTATTAAAACAAACCTCTCCACTTTGCGTTACTCAGTTTTAAGAGCAAACCAATTGAAATCTAAAAATAACTTAAAACAATGTTAGCAAACTTAAGCTACGGACACACGGTGCAACATTGCGCGCAATGTTGCATGCAATTGATGTAGCGAGCCATGACACACGACGCAATTTGTTGCACGCAACGTTGTTGAAGTAGAAAACTATCCTACTTCAGCAACATTGCCGCAATGTTACACCGTGTGTCCGTGCCTTAGGTGTACTAAAAAGTGTTCAGTTTTTGAAAGAAATTTGAGAAAATCGTTGCAAAATTTTGACGAAAAGTCTTGACAAAAAAAATGCTTCAACATTTGTTATTCTTTTCATCATTTCAAAATTGCCGTAGCTTTATATATGAGTAGCTTTATTTAYGAGAACTCCATTTTTCATAAGAATCATTTGTCGATAAAAATTCATAAAATCGATTATTCTCCTCCTTGAATATAAAAYTGGCTTCTCAATTTTACTGAATTTGAGTTCTTCAGTTTTGTGGCCCCGTCAAGATTCGACTGCGCACGCAGCCTTGAGGAAACGGTCTATATTTATGTGATGGTGGTGTTTGCAAACGTGGCGGTGGTTTGCATTCATTGTCAAGAAAAACTAAATAAAACAGTCATGGACTAGCGCCATATTATTTGATAAAACAGAAGAATTTTGCTACTGATTAAACCAACATGGCGGGTATGAAAACCAGCAACATGCGGCACTAGAAAGAGTAGTGCACTCGGCTCTCACCGTTGGGGTCTCGAATTCGATTCCCATCACATGTGAGTAGAGTTTCAGTGTTAAAAAAAGACTTCGTCATTGCTAATCACCACCATAAACTACAACAGTGGCGCAGTTCAACGGAGTCCAACTGAAAGCATGTCTCCCTTTCTAATTCAAGGGTTTTTACTCCATGTTCTCCGCTTTTCCTCCCTCCGCAAAACCTAACACGCTGAATTCCGATAGTTTTAGTCCAGGGCTAGACCTACTTTTAGTTCTGTTTATATTCGTTCTGATCCAAATCAACGCTCGCCGGCGCGCAAAGATGCATAGGATTGCATYGAAATAAAAATAAGTATGCGGAATTTTGTACTAAACTWGGACTGCGCGCGYAAAACAATAAACACAACTGTGAAAAGTTGGTCCAGTTCTGTACWAAATAGATGTGTTAGCCATGCTCGACTGACGTTTTATTGGATAAAATCTTAGTTTTTTATGGAAAAACTTATTATTTGAACATCGCCAACTCGTTTGATTTATGTTATTTGTGCTACAATTATTTATTTTTTCATTTATTTTTTCTCGTTATAGACTTTAAAGACTTATATCTCATTGAGCGGGAAGCGACCTGTGAACTTGYTGGCAAATCTTTCACTGAAGGACAAACATACACTCCCAACAACTGCCTGGACGTATGCCTATGTGAAGATGATGGGAAGTTCCACTGTAAGACCTGCGGACCAGCCCAACCAAAGACGAAATGCAATGGATGGGCACACAAACTGACTAAAGTCGAGTTTCATGTTGGTACGGAGGAAGCCGGGGGATGCAATTGTTTTAAATATGAATGCCACAAAAAATCAATGTAAGTAATACATACATTTGCTTATTTTTTTAAATTCAAGTAAGTGGCGCTAGGAGGAAAAGGTTAAGCTGTTACTATGTCTTCATTCGTTTTCATTCTCTTGCGTTGTGGCTTTAAGYAAACTTAACCGTAAGTGAATGATATTTATCTTAATTTCTAGAAAAACCTGGTTTAAGGAATTATGGACTAAATTAACGAAGAGTCTAACGTAAAGAGAGAAGTGGGTGCGGAGAAAAACAACAAGGCTTATAATGTGGTCAGAGAAGGTAAGTTATTAATAAAAATAATATATTTCGAGGCATGAAATTTTAATATTTCCAATAATTTAATAATAATTCAATATTAAAAGTACCAGTGACCTAGACTCAATCGTTAATACTCTGCCCTTCCTTTCTGGTTCCCTTCCTTTTTTCGTTCTCTCTTACTTTCTCTTTCTCTCATCCCATTCCCATTTCCAAATCTTCATACTGTTTCTACAAATTTTGGGGCGAAATTTCTTTCTCATCAGCAACTTTATTTTTCGTAAGAAGAGTAAGAAATTCGCCTTCTTAATTAGCCTAGGCGTCACGCCTCCTAAGTGTATTGCAACGCGGGAAAGTAAAGGGTGTATTTTTATTGTGTGGAAATCAATCGCATAGGTTTATATTGCGCATTRATATGAAACCGTATATGTAAATAATTGTAAGGCGCAAGAGCCATTGATAGAGACGAGTAGGGATTGGGCACTCGTTTGTCGCAGAGGGACTGGGAAATACCCCACTGGGTAGATATTACTCGCAGTACGATATACACAGAAATGATAACAATSTARARAGAAAATATTGAGAAACCAAGTGAAGTATTTCTTGTCAGTTAACGTTTCGCTAGCAGCATTTCAAAGAAAGAAATGACAAGCACACCTGTTAACGTTTAATCTGATGCTGAATGTAAGCTAAAATGAATAGTATTATCTCTTAATAAAAAGATTTCCAAGGTTGAAAAACTAAAGATAAAATGATGTAAATGACTTGTTATAATCGTAATTCTCGTTTTCTTTCAGAATAATCACAACGGTAACCGATAAATAAAGGAGTAATMCAATAAAGTTAGCCTAAAGCTTAATGATCAGCTGTAGTGTATGCTTTGGTTTTGGTTCCAGGTAATAAGAAAATTTAAAAAAAAATTTAAAAAAAAAAAAAAAATTTAAAAAAAAATCATATT